GCAGCCGCGCGGTACCCGCCGTCGAGGCCACGGGGCTGTTGGAGTGCTCTAGCTGTGCTGCCTTTCCAGCTTCGCTGTTCCCCGCGTCGCGTCCTGGGGCGTGAGTGCTGCCGGCGGGCGGGGAGATCGGCCCCACTCCCCATCCCAAGGCCAGGGCCTGTATGCGCTGGGCGGGAGAGCATGACGCCGCCGCCATGAGGGCGTCCGAGGGTGGGGGATTTCCGGGCAAAAGCCTACGGGAGTGCGACGGAAGGCCTGGGCAGAAGGAAGACCCCTGGCGTTCTTCCCTCTCCTCAGGCCAGACCTGCGGTAGCGGCAACAGTTGGGCTCTGGCACCAAGACTGGCGCTTCCTATGGCTTAACAACCTCTGCCTGCATTGCCCGCCGAGTCCCACCCGACCATCTTCAACCCAGTTCTTGAATGAGTCCTCTCCCACCTGCCCTGAGCAGGCCCACCCTTAGGGTTTGATGGAAAGGCCTCTGGAGGATGGGGATGAGTCCCCAGACTCCCAGGGCCATGCCACCGACTGGAGGTTTGCTGTGTGCAGTTTCAGGGATGCCTGGGAAGAGGAGGAACCTGCTCCCCAGATGCAGGTTAAGGACCTCACTCCTCCAAGACCACCAGTCGGGTCTGCCCAGGGCGAAGGGCTACAGGGCAGCCCCTTGTCCCAGGAGCTTCAGTCACCCCCAGAACAGATGGCTGCAGATGGGTCAGGGGATGCCCAGAGGGTCACATTAGGAGACTCCTCAGTCCTGTTAGAAGAGCCAACTTCCTCTGGAGTGGAGAGCCTCCTATGCCCCATGTCCTCCCACCTCAGTCTGGCTCAGGGTGAGAGTGACAGCCCAGGGGTAGGCTTGGTAGGGCATCCTGGTCCAGGCAGGGTGATACCAGGTGACTTGGGCTCTGGAGGGTTGGACACCGACCCTATGAACCTTGGAGACCCTTTATCAGAGACCTCTTCAAGGCTGCTGGAGGCAGGTAAGGGAAGCTTGGCTAGGGAAGACTGGGAAGGGAATGGGGATGCCTGGAGGTAGGTGTTGAGACCCAGAGAGGTCTTTGATCCTACTCAGGCTGAAGCTCGGGCTCAAAGAGGGGTCTCTGGGTAGGTGGCTTAGTGCAGACCCAAGCCATTTATCTTCCCAAGACCCCACAGGATCCAGTCTCCCTAAGTCGGCTGATTGCCTTCAGGCCCAAGACCTCTCCTGGGAGCTGCTGGCCAGTGGCATGGCTGCCTTGCCAGGTAACCAGGAGGGCCTAGAAGTGGTGAAGGTGAGCTAGACATGGTGGCTCATGTCTGTAATCCCAGCACTTTGGGAGGCAGAGGTGAGAGGATTGCCTGAGCCCAGGGGTTCAAGACCAGTCTGGGCAACTTGGCAAGTCTTCATCTCTACAGTAAATCAAAAAATTAGCTGGGTGTGGCAGTGTGTGCCTGTAGTCGCAGCTATGCAGAAGGCTGAGGCATAAGGATTACCTGAGCCCAACAGGTCAAGGCTGGGCTGCAATGGCTATGATCATTCCACTGCACTCCAGCCTGGGTGACAGAGTGAGACTCTAACTCAAAAAAAAAAAAAAAGAGATGGAAATGGGGTGGCTCAACAAGGTGGGTGTTCAGTGCTTCCTCTCCACAGGGACTCGGGATATAGAAGGCCGGGCAGTGCTGCTGCTGTGTGCCCACAACCCAGCCTGGCTTCACCCCAAGTGCAGCAGCCATGAACTCATCCGCCTCTTGCTCTACCTGCGAAGCATCCCCAGGTTTGTGGGAGGAGTTTGGGTGCCTGAGCTGAGCCAGGAGATGTCAGGGTCTGGGAATCAGATAATGGAAATCAGCTTCCTCTTCTAGGCCCGAAGTACAGGCCATGGGACTGACAGTGCTAGTTGATGCCCGAATTTGTTCCCCAAGCCCTTCCCTCTTCTCAGGGCTCAGCCAACTACAAGTGAGTACAGGCTTGTACCTCCTCCAAATTCCTTTTGTGTAGAGTTGGGGGCAGTGCTGAGCTCAGATTCCTTGCAGGAGGCAGTCCCAGGGTCGGTGTACAAGGTGCTGCTAGTGGGAAAGATGCCAGAGGAGATTCCTTCCAGGCTGCAGGTATTGAGCCAGGTTGGCTAGGGTTAGAGGTGGGGCACTTCCCCCCATAGGCCTGGGTCACAACACCTTCTTCTCTTGCAGCTGGAGCAGCTGCCCTCTCATCAAAGCCTGCTGACCCACATTCCCATGGCAGTGTTGCCCACTTCACTAGGAGGATGCCTGCCTTATTGCCACCAGGCCTGGCTGGATTTCCGGATGGTCAGTGTGCTAGGTGTGGTGGGGGGTGGTAATGCAGGCAACCTGAGTCTGTGGAGGAGCCTCTCCTAGGCTGGTTTGGGCAGGACAAAGCTCCCTGCAGTGGCCTGGAACCCAGGGGGCCTGGGACCAGTACTGCGTGCTGCTCTGGTTATGCCTGCCCCTACTCACAGCGTGTAGAAACCCTGCTGCAGAGCTGCCAGGTGGTTTGTGCACTGCTTCAGAGGGCCATCGAGGGTATGAAGACTGTGCCCTCACCCATGGAGTCTGGGGTGAGTGTAACCTTCCAAAACCTCCCCAAATGTTTCCCGTCTCTCTCCTCCTCTCCCATGGCCACCTTCACTGTCTGTTGCCTTCAATCACAGGAAGTCAGTGGGCTGCTACAGCAGGCACGAGTCTTGATGCAGCAGGTGTTAGACTCACCACGGCTGGTATGGCTACAATGCCAAGGGGGCTTAGAGCTGGCATGGCTGAAGCACGAGGTCCCAGATGTGACCCTGAGCCCAGATTACAGGTAGGTACAAGCCCAGCTCCCAGATCTTGCCCCAGCCCAGCCCAGCCCACCCCACCATATTCTGTGCCAAGGACTCAACTGGCTAGCTCACAACCAGCCAGGATTGTGGGTCCCAGGACAGTGTAGAGTGGAGCAAGGGAGCTGGCAGGGGAACTAAAACCGCATGAGTGGAGCAAGGGGACTGGCAGGGTACCTAAGACCGTGTACCCTGCACCAGGCCTGCGGTGGACAGGGCTGATGAGCTATATGGCTGTGTGGATGGACTGCTGCACCAGCTGACTCTGCAGAGCAACCAACGAGTACAGACTCTAGAGTTGGTCCAAACGCTGGAGGCCCAGGAAGACAGACTACAACAGGTAGGAACTACTCTCCCAGAGCAGGCCCTGCCCTTGATTTCAAGTGGGAACTCCACCCATAGCAGTTATTCTCTCCCTTCCTTACTTGTGCCCTATCAGATTGAAGTGTGGCTACAGCAGGTGGGCTGGCCAGCACTGGAGGAGCCAGGGGAACCCTCACTGGACATGCTGCTCCAGGCCCAAGGCCCTTTTCGGGAGCTGGATCAGGTTGCCCAGGTAAGTTTGGTTGTTGATTTTGCAGGTGTTGGGACACTTTGCCAGGGACTAGGAATGCAGGAGTGAGTGAAAGCAGGTCAATCCCTTGCTTTCTTGGAACTTATAGTCCAGCAGAAGAGATATTGTATGTAATAAATCACAGTTATATATGTGATTGCAAACTGAGGCAAGAACTCTGGAGAGCCAGGCTCGGTGGCTCAGCCTGTAATCCCGTGCCTTTGGGAGGCTGAGGTAAGTGGATTGCCAGAGCCTGTGGATTCGAGACCTGCCTGGGCAGCGAGACCTCCTCTCTACAATAAATCAAAAAAAAAAAAAAAAATTAGCCGGGCGTGGTAGCGCGCACCTGTAATTCCGGCTACTCGGAAGGCTGAGGCAGAAGGATCACTGGAGCCCAGCAGGTCAAGGCTGTGGTGGCCGGGAGCGGCCACTGCACTCCAGTCTGGGCGACAGAGACTCCAACTCAAAAAAAAAAAAAAAAGAACTCTGGAGAGAACATAGGTGATTCTACCTGAAGATATAGCAAAGTCCTGACCCAGCAGGGGGTGTTGGGTGAGCTTTTTTTTTTTTGGTGACTTTTGAGCTGAGAGCTGAAGAATAAGTTGGGGTTAACCAAACAGAAGAAGGTTGGAGATGGGAAGACATTCTAGGCTGGGAAAATGGCATGTGCAAAAGTCCTGTGGCAGGAGGGAGTATGGTGTGGCTGAGGAGCCATAATGCCAGTGAGGTTGAAATGCAGAGCAGAAGAAGGAGGAAGAGTGGGATGAGATGAGGTGAGATGCAAGACTGGGAGACTGGTTAGTGGCCAGATCACTGGGCCCTGTAGCAGGGGGGTAAAGTTTAAACAGGAAAGTCACATAATTAGATCCATATTCTAGGAAGTTTGCCTCTTCTAGGAAGAGTTCAGTGTAGAGGCAATTGCAATAGCCCTGGTGGGACATAATACCTTCTCTGGCCACGATGGTGCTAGGGGAGACGGATTTGAGAGGTTGATGGGATTTGATGGTGGACCCATGTGGGAGCATAAGGGAGAGGGATGTTGCTAGGTTGCGAGGATAAATGGGTGCTGTCCCCGAAGAGAGAGACTAGGAGACTAGGACTTCCCTGGAGAAGGGTATTCATGAGTCCAGTCTTGGGTGTGCTTTTGAGATGGCTGTGAGGGATGAAAGGAAGGCCCTTGGCTATTGGACCTGGAGCTCAGAGGATGTGGATATTGGGTGACATTTGAAGTTCGTCTCACAAAATCACCTGGGAAAGTGAGGGCACTGTTTTCAGGATCCCCAGGGTTTAATGGCCCAGGTGAGGAAAGGAGAGCAGGAAGACTCACCAGAGAAGGATGAGGAGAATCAGGAGCATGGGGAGGAGTCACGGGAGCCCAGGAGAGAGTGGACTGAATACTGCTGAGAAGTAGAGTCAGGGAGGCCTCACCACCAGGCTGGAGCTGCCTAAGTACTGGCTCTCTCTCTCCAGGAACAGATCAGGCAAGGGGAGAAGTTTCTGCAGCCACTCTCTGGCTGGGAAGCGGCTGAACTGGGTCCCTCTGGGACACGCTTTCTGACGCTGCGAGCCCAGCTGACTGAATTCTCTAGAGCTTTGGCCCAGCGGCGCCAGCAGCTGGCAGATGCTGAGAGGCTGTTTCAGTTGTTCAAGCAGGTGGGTGAAGATCCTGCCTTTGGCTCCAAGTGGTTAGTGAGACCAGAGGGATGGCTGCCCCAGCTCTGTCTTTCACATCCTGAGCTCTTCTTGGTGCTGCTTGCTCTTTGCCCTTGTGTTCAGTCTGACCCCAACATCCAATGATTGGAGATGTGACGTGGGACCAGCATCCTGTGGAAATGGGGAGTGGGTAGAGGAGCAGAGTGCTCAGCAGGCTTAATGAGATTCTTTTCTAATGCCTGCCTGGCCCTTGTGTTGCAGGCCTCCATGTGGGCTGAGGAGGGCCAGCAGCTGTTGACAGAGCTGGAGCAGGAGCGCCCAGGGGTTGTGCTGCAGCAGCTGCAGCTGCACTGGACCAGGCACCCTGACTTGCCTCCTGCCCACTTCCGAAAGATGTGGGCTCTGGCCACGGGGTTGGGCTCAGAGAGCATCCGCCAGGAGTGCCGCTGGGCCTGGACCCGGTGCCAGGACACCTGGCTGGCCCTGGATCAGAAGCTAGAGGCTACACTGAAGCCATCACTGGTGGACAGTACCTCTAGCCAGTGTGTCAGCCAGGTCCCCACTGCACCAGCTCCCCCTCCCCTGAGGAAAGCCTATAGCTTTGATCGGAATCTGGGGCACGGTCTCAGTCAGTCTGCCCGCCACTGCCACCACACAGCCACTATTGCTGCCTGCCACACACCAGAGGCTGGAGGAGGTGACCAGCCCAAGTCATCCACTACCATACCTTCACCAAGCAGCTCTGACCCAAGGAATCCCAACAGGTACAGGCAGACGACAGGGCAGAGAAGGTAGTGGAGGGTAGATAAGGGTAGATGTCGGTAGATGTCATGGGTCTAACTCCACCTACCTGGTAGGCTACAGCTGGTGTTGGCAGAGATGGTAGCCACAGAGCGGGAGTATGTTCGGGCCCTTGAATACACCATGGAGAACTACTTTCCCGAGCTGGATCGCCCTGATGTGCCCCAGGGCCTCCGCGGCCAGCGTGCCCACCTCTTTGGCAATCTGGAGAAGCTTCGGGACTTCCACTGCCATTTCTTCCTGCGTGAGCTGGAGGCTTGCACCCGACACCCACCCCGAGTGGCCTATGCCTTCCTGCGCCATGTAAGCCCCATAGGCCACGCAGTCCTGTGCTGATTCTAACACACTACCCAAGGAACTGTTAGGCCCACACTTGGTGCCAGGTCCTGTGCTGGGTCCAGCTGGGAGCAAGACTGATAAAGTGTTTGTATTTCAGGGTGCTCTTATAAGGGAAATATAAAAGTGAAAAAGATGCTTTTAGATTACTGCTGGGGCTAGGAGGAAAATAAGTAGGAAAGATGCTTATGAATTACTAGTAGGACAAGGGTTTCCACTTTAGTGGGAGCAGTTAGAAATGGCATCTGAGGAGCTGATATTTAAGCTAAGGCTGGGGGAGGAGCTGGAATAGAGTGTTCCACCCGGAGAAAAGAACAAGTACAAAGTACAGCGTGGCAGAAAGAGGCTAGATGGCCAAGGAAGTAGCAAAGAAGTAGTTAAGTGTAATGGAGCAGGAGTCCAGGATGAGGTGAGACCAGAAATATTCTCAGAGCTGTAAGAGGAGTGGAGCTGAATGCAGAGACTCCATCTGAGGGGTAGGGGACTTCTTCCCCAGAGGGCCTGTAGGCACTCCCCCTCAGCACAGTGCCTGTTCTTGCCAGATTACCCTTCATTCAAAGTAGGGTAGAGTGGATCTGCAGGGGGAGGCCTCCCTTGGACTCATCTGTTGGCATTTGGTCCTCTCAAGCGGAGATTGGTCTGGCCCAGGGGGACTAGCCTTTGGGAGCTGGCCCCTTTGCACTGGGCTGAACCATGTGTTCTTGTAGAGGGTGCAGTTTGGGATGTACGCACTCTACAGTAAGAATAAACCTCGTTCCGATGCCCTGATGTCCAGCTATGGCCATGCCTTCTTCAAGGTAGGTCAGCCTATAGGAGGAGTTAGAGGATGGGGGGAATATCCCCACACCACTCAGTGATCTGTCCCCTACCTGGCAGGACAAACAGCAAGCACTGGGAGACCACCTAGACCTGGCCTCCTACCTGCTAAAGCCCATCCAGCGCATGGGCAAGTATGCACTGCTGCTGCAGGAGCTAGCACGGGCCTGCGGGGGTCCTGTGCAGGAGCTCAGTGCACTGAGGGCAGCCCAGAGCCTCGTACGTTTTCAGCTACGACACGGTAACGACCTGCTAGCCATGGATGCCATCCAGGGCTGTGATGTGAGTCATCCCAGGCTGTAGCGGGCAGGGGCAGTGGGTATGGAAGAAGAGGCTGGGACTCTCACTGTCCCCCAACTTTGCAGGTTAATCTCAAGGAACAGGGGCAGCTGGTGCGACAGGATGAGTTCATGGTGCGTGCTGGGCGGCACAAGTGTCTGCGTCGTGTTTTCCTTTTTGATGAGCTGCTCCTCTTCAGCAAGCCTCGCCGTGGGCCCACAGGTGTCGACACATTTGCCTACAAGCGCTCCTTCAAGGTAGGCCCCCTGCCCTGACCCCTGCACCTTGTCCTCTCACCGCATGCCTCACCAAGCCCCTCTCTCCTGGCCACACAGATGGCAGACCTTGGCCTCACTGAGTGCTGTGGGGACAGCAACCTGCGCTTTGAGATCTGGTTCCGCCGTTGCAAGGCCAGGGACACCTTTGTGCTGCAGGCCTCCAGCTTGGCCACCAAGCAGGCCTGGACGGCCGACATCTCCCGTCTGCTCTGGAGGCAGGCTGTCCACAATAAGGGTGGGTCCTTGCCCCCTAGTTCACCTCACATTCCTCTCTCCAGAGGGCTTTCATATTCCTGCAGGAGCACAGAGACCTGAAAAAGCTTGGAAAGTGGGGAGAGGGCCCAGCAGCAGCAGCTAGTGCAGGGGAAAAAACCTCAAAGTCAGGCAGTTCTGCTGTCACTGTCTCTGACTTCGGATGCAACATTAACTGAATCTCTCTGAGTATCAGGAGCCTCATCTGTAAAAGGGGAATATGACATCTGCCCTATGGGATCATTGGGAGGAGAGAGCCTTGCACCAGAAAGACTCAGTGCACACATAGTTTTTCTGCTGGATGTGGATGTACAGGAAAGACTTATTGGGAAAAAATTTATGCATGAGAGGAGGTAGATAGAGGCTCAAGGACAAGGTAATATCCAGAGGGGTCTCACGTATGCCCACCCTTCATTCAGAGGTGCGCATGGCTGAGATGGTATCCATGGGTGTGGGGAACAAGGCCTTCCGGGACATTGCCCCCAGCGAAGAAGCTATCAACGACCGCACCATCAACTACATCCTAAAGTGCCGAGGTAGCAGGCAGGCTCAAGGGGTGGGGCGTGTGGTGAGGAAGGCTGTGTGGGAGACATTGTGGACCTGTCAGTCCTGGCCTGTGCTCCCTTGGGATCTTAGGCCAGGCTGGGTTCTGGCTTGTCCCAGCCTGACCTCTCTCATGCAGAAGTTCGTTCTCGAGCCTCCATTGCTGTGGCCCCATTTGACTATGATAGCCCCTACCTGAAGGCCTCAACCTCCCTTCCTGGAGACCCTGCCTCTTGCTCTGTTCTGGGGTCCCTCAACCTGCACCTGTACAGAGACCCAGCTCTTCTGGATTTCCGCTGGCCCCTGTATCCCCCCAATTTCCCAGAGGAAGCATCGCTGGAGGCTGAGGCAGAGCTGGGCAGCCAGCCCTCTTTGAGTATGTCTGGGCTTAGCCAGAGGCAGGACTGGGTCTGGGTCTAGGCCTCCACTCCTGACAGTTCACCCAGTCTCTTGTCCTAGCTCCTGAGGATTCAGAGGTCTTGTCCCAGTGCCCATCGGCCAGTGGCTCCAGTGGCTCCGACAGCAGCTGTGTGTCAGTGCAGGCCCTGGGTAGGGGCCCTGAGGACTTATCCTATGTGAGTGTCATTTTGTTCTATGCCCACCAGTGCCTCCTCAGCCTAGGCTAGGCCTGTGGCTGCCTATCCTTTAGGTGGAGCTGGGGGGTGCGTGGGCAAGCGCCATTCCTTAGAGACCCCCCCTGGACCCAGAGCCAGGGAAATAGGCATTTATACCTGGCCCGGCCCCACAGGTCTGAGCCTAGGCTCGAAGGCAAGCAGTGGATCTAGCATCCTGAAGCTCCAAGGAACATCACCTCTCTGGATCTACTGTGTCTAGAGTGTGACTGGCACCTTGGCCACCTCTAGCCTACACACGCAGCCCTGTTGACTATCCTTTCTGATGTCTGTGACCATTGGACAAATTGGCACAAATCCTCTCCAGGGAAGTCTGGCTGTAGAGACTGAGTAGGCATCTTGTTCCCAGACTCTGGCCCCCATGTCCCCTTCTGTCCCCGCTCCAGCTCCCACCTGAGTTATGGGTTAAGAATAGACTAGAGCAGAGGGTGGGTGTTTCCATACTCTAGGCTGGCAGGACACCATGTCGCTCTGGGAAGTGACTGGGTTGCTCCACCCTTCTGGGGGAACATGGGTTTGCTCCCAGCAGCTGCTCCCCAGTCCCTGACCTTAAAGCCAGGCTCAGCAAACAGGCTGGTCTATCCCTGCTGTGCCCTACCTTTGCCTGTTTTGGCCCCCCAGGTCCAACCCCTTCTCTCCCAGGATACTTTGGTTATTTTGACTTGATGCCGTTTGACTAGCTTTCGAGAGTTGTCTAAAATTATCTCATTGGTTGTTAGGCCTTTGGCGTCTCAGAGAAGGCGGCTACATTTTTGACTCGTTACTTTTATTTGTTTATAATAAAAAAAAATAGACTGGTATGTCGCCTTGAATGGGTACAGGCATTGTGGGGAAGTACAATGAACCTTGGTGGCTGGGGACATGCAGGGCAGCATCTCTGGGCACCCTAGCCCTCTTGTAGGTACTTGCCCAGGATAGAGTAAGAGATGGACCTAGTCAGGCCCCTCTGGATGAGCAGGTCCATGCAGCGGCTATATTTCCTGGCGAAAGGCAGTGTAAGCTGGAAGGAAAGGTTAGTCTTACCCCTGATTTCCTGGCCAGTTGTCTACTCTAGCTCCATGTTCTCCCATCTGGGCAGGGCAGAAATAGGACAAGCCCTCTTTTGGGGGTCCTTTGATACTCTAGGGCTTAGTTCTTCCCAAAGGCATCTCAGAAGGCTGTTAGGAATAGCTACCAGGGGTCTAAGCAGAATTATCAGAGAGTCACAAACGTATGTCTCCTGCTACTGGTTTTCCACTTTGTAGCCATAGATACTGACTTCACCTTTATAAACCATATGCAAGCCAGATGCCTAATAGTAATTGGATATTAGTTCAAGTGATATGCACTTGATTATGGAAGTGCCAGATCAATGAGAAACTAAGTCTTTTCCATCTCAATGCTAAAATTAAAGAATCAGAAAAGAAAAAAAAACTTGGTAATTCCTTTGCTCTTATTGAACATTTTCTATTTCTTTGTATAGAATGCTTTAAAGCAGCATAAGTATGAAAGGAATGCACAAAAATTGTGATATCACGGCTAAGTAGGTGAAGTTGGTATCACTGGTTGAAAAGGTCTGTCATATGAGCCAAAGCTTGGGCTCATAGGATGTGCTTCCCCAGGTGTGGCTAGGATTGTTAGTAATTAAAGGAATAGTTGGTATAACTGGAGGAAAACTATAGAAACCTGTAGCCTGAAAACTGCTTTTTGACTACTCTGTATTGGTTAATTTCAGCCACTGTTTCTCCTTCCCTGGGACCAGTGGCCTAGCTGTCTGCCTAGCCTTCTGGGCAGTGCTGGCCTAGCCCTAGTGCAGCAAGACACAATGTCCACCTGAGGTATCCACAGGGTCACCATTCCCAGTGGGGTGCAGGTAGCCCTCACCTCCACCCAGCTGTACAGGCGCTCCTGAGTGTGCCGGTCATCCTTGAAGCCGGTGATGGCCAGCAGATCCACCACAAATTGCTTGGGGCTGGTGTGCAGGGTCTGCCATGAGAGCCTATGGTCAGGCAGGACTGGGACAGCTCCCAGCCCCTCAGAACGAGATGCAGAGCAGGGACTTCCCTGGGCCTGCAGAGCCATAGGGGTCAGGGGCAGGCCCTATCACCCTAAATCTCTTGGCCGAGGCTCAGTCCAGATGAAACTGCCCTGCTTTCCTGCCCTTAGCTTTCCCTGCCACTCTTCTGCCTCTCACCTCTTCTCTTTACCCCCATCTTGAATTGCTTCCTTTTGTCCCTTACTACTTATTGCAGGGGCAGGGGACAGGTAGACAAGGTACAAGGTGCCCTGGGGCCTGGGGCCTGTCACACATACCCATAGCCGATTGGCCAGGGAGACCACCTTGGCTGTGATGGCTTTGGGGTCCTTTTGCCTGATGGAATCCAGGATGATATCAGTCAGGAAGCGGTGACATTTCTGTGCATAAAACATCTCTTCCCAGGACAGAGAGAAACTCAGGAAAGTAACCTCTGTGGAAGAGGGAGAGTGGTTATGACCACATCTGTCCACAGCTAGGGCCTTAGAGACAGCCTGGAGAAAAGGGAGAGGTATAGGGCTCCCAAGGGACATTCTGCCTAAAGTACCCTGGGTGGGGACTCAGGCATCTCCTCAAGGATGTACAAGGCCTTGCATGGTTCCACAGCCTCACCTTGGGGCTGGAGACTGGTAGTGGGTAGTGTATGCCTGAGGCTGTCCATCTGTGTGGTGTAGATGATGCTGTCTTCTAAGAACATGCAGGAGCCATCACTGCCCACCACTGGAGGGTGTGTCACTTTGAGGATGACACCTGAGCTGTCCACCTCACTGGCCTCAGGCAGAGGCTGCTCAGGGGCAGGGCTTTCTGTGAAAACAATATAGGGAAGGTGCTCTTCTTAAGCCTTCTCAGTCCAAGTAGGAAGAGGACCTCTAGTGAAAGACACGTACAGCCAGTCACCCCAACCTTCCAGCACCTGCTGCCTCCGGGTTCTTAGAAGTGACACCCTGGGCTGACAGGGGCCTGTGCTGGCATCTCCTCTTTTCATTGCCCTGGTATCACTGCAGTCAAATCCTGAGTTTTGGAACTCCAAGAAACTCTCCAAATTCCTCTGTTGAACTGACTGCTATCAAATAGGGCCATTAGTAATTCAGCGGAAGAGCTGGAAATCTTTATTTTAAAAAATGAGAGGAGCTTTTTGAGCCACCCTTTGATGTATGTCTTTCAGACATCTGATGTATGTCTTTCATACATCTGTCACCCCAAAGCTTGACAGACCAACTTAGGTGCATAGGCAGAGTCCGAGAAGGCCCCTCTAAGCAGGGTCTGAGCCACTAAAAGAGAAGGTGACAGAATTCTGTAGGAAAGACTCTGAAGGAGCAGAAGAAACAGCCTGGCATGACACACTTCCCTGGGCCACCTCCCCTCTGCCAGCCACACAAGCGCTCTCTCTTAGCCCGTGTCTCCTGGACTTCACTGGATGCCTCTCAGCATCTCACACACAATATGTACTCCTCAAGTTCTGCTCTTCCTCCTGCCTACCCACCTCAGTAATGGACCATTCCCTTTGCAGTCACTCAAGCTAGAAACCCTAACCCTAACCTTCTTCCTCTCACACCTAAAATAAACTCAGCTGCTTCTAACACTCCCCTCCTGCTGCATTTTCTCTGCTCCTGGAGAAAGCTTTCTGCTGTGCACAACTGACCACTCCCTTGAAAATCCTTCCAGGGCTGCTCACTTCTGTCAAGGTCAGAACAGAGTAACACATCTGGACCTGGCCTACGAGTCCTGTCCTGATGAGTTATGTCTTCAGCCTCATCTCCCATCACGTCTGCATGTGAAGTCTGGCCTCCAGTTACACCAATGCCCTGTGCATTTTCACAAACACTCTAGAGTTTTTGTTTCTTCCCCTGCTGACTCCCCAGCCCTCATCCTCCTTTGTGCTCCTACTTCATAGGCTCCCCCTTCCCACAGTGCTTATCACTTCACTTATGTGACCTCTTGGTCCCTCAAGTCATGCCAGTCTTTCTGTGTCTGCTGCTGGGCACAGAGCTGGCATCGGTAAGTGGGGGGCTCTGATCCCCCCTTTTCACTAACTTGTTCTGCATTATTGGCCAAGGAGTTTGCCTTGTCCATTATAAATGAGACTTAGGTCAAGGGTGGGATAGGACTCACCTCTCTCCTTTGGCTTCTGCTTGCTCCAGTCCTTCAGGGTGACAGCTCTTTTCATGGGGAAGTATGGCTTAAAGATTGGCTCTGGCCCCCTGTCTTTTGCTCCAGATCCAGCCTCTGCCTGTGGACCTGGATCTTCTGAGGCTATGGACTGGGCTTTCCAGGCAGCTGAGGTGCTGGGCTGGGAAGCAGCCTCACTTCCCAATGGGAGCTGCAGGGTGGCCTCCTCCAGGGGACTGCTCCGGGGGGCTGTCAGTGGCTGGAATTCCCTCTGTTTGCAATTGACCATGTCCCATTCCCTCACTAGGGAGATAAGTTTTTGTATGGGGGTAACAGGAGGTTCTTTGGTTTCAGATTTCTGTGTGACGTTGATCATGGTACACTTCTTCTTGGGGGGGCTTTCAGGGTGCCCCCAGTGTCTGGGATTGGTACACAAGCCTGGGCAGTGTGAGTATGTGCTGGGATTGCCTGCCCTCTTGGTATTTCGGCACAAGGACACCTGGGTGGGCTGGGTATACTGCTCAGCCTCTGTCATCTGGCTGGACCTGGCCAGGTTCCCCTTGGCCTTATTCCATTGACTCCTGTCATTGCAGTCTTGGAAGTCCACTGGCATATAGGCTGTGGTCTGGGGAAGGAGGGATACAATAACTCTGGGCATGTTGTGCATTGAAATCAAAGCCTTGCCCATGATCTAGTAAGCTGGGCCTCCAAGACTTTACTTGCTCACCCAGAACAATCCCAACCTTGAACATGGGTCACCCATTTGAGCTTTGCTCAGGCTGAGTGGGGGTGGTGCCCACACAGGGGCCTCTTACATTCCAACAAAAAATACTGTCAGCACCCCAGGCCACAAGTGGCCAGCATCTCTGTGCCTTCAAGGTTCAGAAACCAGATCTTGTACTAAGAACCCATGGGCCCTGCTCTTTTTTTTTTGAGTTGGAGTCTCACTCAGTTGCCCAGACTGGAGTACAGTGGCCGCTCCCGGCCACTGCACCCTCAACCTACTGGGCTCCGGTGATCCTTCCGTCTCAGCCTTCCAAGTAGCTGGAACTATAGGCATGCACTATCACACCTGGCTAATTTTTTTGATTTATTGTAGAGATGAGGTCTCGCCAAGTTGCCCAGGCAGGTCTCGAACCCACGGGCTCAGGCAATTCACTCACCTCAGCCTCCTAAAGTGTGGGATTACAGGCTGAGCCACCGAGCCCGGCGTGGCCCTGCTCTTTCATTCTGACACACCCTCAGCAGTTGGGCTTGCCCCCAAGCCCTGTGATGGTATTCTTTGAGTAAAGCTGGGGCTTACTTCTTTGGTGTCTCTACTAAGATCCACCAGTGACCTTGGCCCTTCTGTCACCATGTGCAGTCTCCTGATGGGAAAGGCTTCTTCATTTTCAGATTCTTTCTCCTGGGTCCATGATCTGCAGAAACCGGGAGGGGGTTGGTTAGTGAGTAGAGGCTTCTGTCAGCCTATCGGCCAGTTGGCCAGGTCTGCCTTTTGAGAGTTAATGCTAGACAGCAGGGAAGAAGGGTCTCTTAAAGAGTTTTTCTTAGGTCACCAGTCAGCCCTGGGCCTGCTCCACTTCTTCATCCCCAAGGGAAACAGGTGCCACTAGGAGGTGAGACTTAGGACAGGATTTCCAAGAGGAATTTAAAGACCCAAACTCCAAATATGGAATTCTGAGTGAAGTTCCCTTACTTGTAGCCCTCACATTGTGTGAGAGCTTCCGAGAGAGATGGGATGTTGTATTCTTCCACTTCCTGGCAGAAGAGGGACCATTCCCTGCAAGCAACAAGATGTCAGGCTAAGCAGCTGGGGTGGTAGTATGGAAGGGTGTATCAACTCCAGGAACTGTTTCCATATTGGAATAACATAACTTTCTCCCTGAAGGCTGCAAACTCATGTTTCTTTTGTTGCAGAGGGAGGGGTCAACCTCGGTGTTTTTGTCCTACCATTTCACTTACTTAAATTCAGATGGTAAAAACAGCTTTCCAAGTCTTAGGAAGTTGAGAATATGTCGAAACATTTGGCCATCTCCATGGATGAGCAGGGTCTGTCCATATGTGATCCAGTTCACTCTCTGGGAGTTGGACAGCAGTTCTGGATACTGGAGGGGGTTGGACACCAGACTCAGTCCCAAAGTCTAGGTCTTTGGTAAGGGGCAGATCAGTCTTGTTCCATTTTCCCAACCATGCTAGAGCAGAAGCTTTGGGATTTCCACTTCCCTGTTTTGTTGGTTACAGGGAACTACAGTGAGTAACAGAGCATCCAGAGAGAAGTACCTAGTCTCTGTTTCAACTTTTTCTGGCCCCTAGACCCCCCTCTCAAGGCATTTGGAAACCAACCATACATTCTCAGTCCAGACCCCTTAGAACTGGCTCCCTCCTTGTCCAAACTTCTAAGAGCTTTCCCAGCAGGCTGCCCATTCCCCTTCTGCTCTTGACAAGAACATTTTGGGCAATGGAGTTGGGGGAAGTTTCTTGTTCTAAGCAGATGCTGGAGGTAGTGTGAGGGCCAGGTGACAGGACCCAAAGTTCAAGTGGAGAAGCCAATGGGAAATCAGGGCAGCTGGGACCAGAAGTACCTTCAGTAGGGTCTGCAGGGTAGTTGCGTACCAATGGCTTCCAACATAAACTTTGATGATCTGTTGGAGGGAATACACAGTGATCTCTGCTATCCACTCCTCATCTGTGGAAACCAACGAGAGGGAACATGTCGTATGGCCAGGAGGGAAATTAGGTAGGGCATTTTGGGTAATAAGAGTCTTGCATGTTAAAACTCAATATCTTCACCAGTCATATTGTGTTGCCTACTCTGAGAAGCAGCAGAAATCCCTGACATCAGCTTTCCCTACTGCTTACCATATGGTTTCCTGAGTGGTGAGGCAGGCTTGAAATAGCAGCTTTGAAGGTCAACCATTGTCTATGAGGGTGGGAAGGCTAAGTCTTCTGGAATTCCAACCCCAAGGGCTCTGCTCCTGTTCATTGACTCCCTCCCTCAAGAAAACTGGGCTGATCATCCTGTTCACCTACAATGCCAGCTGCCTCTGGTTTCTGGCTGGGTGTGTCCTGGGTGTGTATCTTTTCATGTGGCCATTCACACTGGAGTTAGGAGAGTCTCTGTATGTTTGCATTTATGGTTTGGCAAATGTCAAAGAATCAGCTCTCATCAAATCCCTGTCACTTCTGGAGGCATGTCTGAAGAATGGGGGTTCTATGCTGGGAAGATGAGCTCATGACCCTTTTCCTGGGGATGACTATATGTAGGCCTTGGTGGTGTTTGGGAACCAGTTTCTAATGAGCTTTGTAATGAGGGAAGGGTATATAACTAGATTATATAACTAAGAGATAAGAGGTTTAGAATTACACAGTGAACTTTAAGCAGGTGCTGGAGGCTGTATGAGGGCCACACAGGGACTGAGTCTGTGTTACTCAGTTCTGTACCTCCAGTGTATGCTGTTATCCTGGTCTATGGTAGGTACGCAATAAATGTTGCTGAATAATGGTAATACAGCTTAAACTTTACCCCTAAAATTTTGTTAATAAGTTATAGGTCATGGTGAAAATAACATTGGTTTTGGACTAAGATGTAAACCCCAGCTTGACCACTGTGTAACTTGATATTTTCTCCCTAAGCCTCTGCTTCATCTGTTAAATGAATCTAGGGACCATTCCTCCCTGGATGGCTGTGAGAACCAAGAAGTGTGAGCACAGCATATCAGCTCCTGGGGCTAAATAAGGCCTGCCCTTGGGGACCTATGGCCCCATACTGGGTAGTAGCCCTCTCTATACTGCTTGAGATGAATTGTGGACTTGGGGTGAGAAGGAGGCACTTAACACAAACCCCACAAATGTTAGTCTGGCTTTCCCCTCCTCTTCTATCTACAGTTCCAAGTCCTAGCTCATCTCATCTCTTCAACCCCCCAGTACCTCCCCAGTGCTAAATTCAAATCCAGAAACTTCCTTATTTACTGAGCACATCCATAGGTGGCAAAGTCTTCGGCTCCAGATAAGTCTTCAGAGCCACTTTCATAGGTTCATAGGTGATGTCCCTCTTGTCCAGGAAGGCACAGAGCTCGTACACCTCAGAAATGGTCTCAGTCAAGGGCAGTCGGCAAGTCCCCAGCCAGTTCCTGCCCAAAGGAAAGGTCTGTCATGAAGAGCCTCAGCCCTTTACCCCAAGAGAGTCTAGCCTGTAAACTTTGCCTACTCAGGATGTCTTGTCACAACACTGGCTCAAACCTAGCATCACTAATATTTCTTTGAATTAACTAGAAATCTGGTATTATTTTGTAGAAGAGTAAGCCTGGACACAGGCTCACACTTTTGAAGTTATTTCAACAAAGCCCTCTAGATGGACTAATTTCAAGTCTCCAGGTCCCATTTCAAATTGCAGAAGCCAAGCCAGGGCCCTCTCCCTTCCTGCCCCCCATAAGCATCTGCCCAAGACATCTCTGTCACTGTGTAGCAGCCTACCATGGTCTTCAGAGGTTACTAATACCCTGTGTGCCCAGGAAAGAGCCTGGGTCTGAACATGAACACCCTTTCTTGAACCCTCCTTCCAAAGCCACTTGTCTTACCCTCTGTGACATCAGGGTGGACAGTCCTAAGAGAGCTGGATTTCATGGACCAAAAGGATCCAAAACAGTAAGACAGTGCTGAGGGTCAGTTAACCTCCCCAGGGCCTCAGGAAAACCCACTTTTATTTATTTATTTCAGTTGGAGTCTCACTGTCACCTAGGCTGGAGTGCAATGGCATGCTCATGGCCTCCACAGCCTTGACCAGCTGGACTCAGGCTTCCAAGTAGCTGGAACTACAGGCACATGCCACCATGCCCAGCTAATTTTTTGATTTGTTGTAGAGATGAGGCCTCGCCATGTTGCCCAGGCTGGTCTTAAACACCTGGGCTCAGGCAATCCCTTCACCTCTTCCTCCCAAAGTTCTAGAATTACTGGCATGAGCCACTGCACCCGGCAAGGAAAACCCACTTTTACCTTTAGTTTTGGCACCAATGTATTTTGTGACCCTAAGAGATTTGCTCCACTTTTCTGAACCTCAGTTTACCCTTCTATAAAACAGAATTGGAATCCATGCCCCTGCACTAATGAGAACATTGTGAGTTCATCCCTCAAGGCAAGGGCCAGGTGTCAGCTCCTCTTGGAAGCCTGTCTTGCCTTGCTTCTAAGTGGGATCACTCCTAGCTCTGACCTCTCTGTATGACCAGTGAACCTCCCAAGGGTAGGGAAGGACCTTTGTAAAGGGGTCTGTGTGGGTAAGTACCCATCACCTTGAGGGTATGACTATGGCTTGGTCTCCTCAGACCCAGTACAGGGCTAGAACCAAAGAAATGAATTGCAGAGAAGAGAACTGCAAAACAGTCTGAAACCTTTGAACCCTGGCAACCCTTCTACCTTGGAACCAGTCCTCTCCTCTGAGACCCTAACCTGGTGGTGGTGGTGGGTGAAATGATGGGTTGGCCCCAAGGACACTCTTCTCCTCTGGCTAGTGGGAAAGACCCCACATTGTTCCTAGAGAAGGGCAAAGCCCAGCCTGATAGAACCTAGCTGTTCCCTAAATAGGGCCTTACTTGACATGCTGAAAGAGGACCCCGTTCCCTGTGATGTACAGTCTACTTCCGTCCAATGTGCTCTCGATGTGGAGCTGTCCCAGCGCAGAGTCTGGGTACTTGACCAGGAGACCCAGGGCCATCATGTAGAGTGGCTTCACAGACTCCAAGCCAGCTGTACGGCTCCCCTTCCCAGGGCTCGAGGGAGGACAGGAGGTCCGGGAACAGCCACCTATTCCAGGGAGGAAGGGGTGACTCTTTTTTTTTTGAGTCAGTGTGTCACTCTGTCACCCAGGCTGGAGTGCAGTGGCATGCTCAAGGCCACCCCAATGTCGACCTGCTGGGCTCAGGTGATCCTTCCACCTCAGCCTTCCAAGTAGCCGGGACTACAGACATGCACTACCATGCCCGGCTAATTTTTTGATATGTTGTAGAGACGAAATCTCACCAAGTTGCCTAGGCTGGTCTTGAACCCCTGGGCTTAGGCAATCCACTCACCTTGGCCTCCCAAAGTGCTGGGATTACAGGCTTGAGTCACTGCACCTGGCCAGGGTGACTCTGGCCTCCAATGGTCTTAGTTGTAGTGGCTTTGGGTCTCAAATCCTACTGCTGCCTCCATTAGTACTTAAGAGGCTTAGAGGGAGCTTATTTCTTTGCACAAATATTTTCAAAATCAATATAATTTCTTTCATACTCTTTGAGGCTTAGAGGTCAAAGCCATTTTGTTGGGAGGGGAGGCAAGAGTGGGGGTATTAATTTGCTATATCACCAACATCTGAATTCATAAATTTCAGTATAGCAGCCACTGGCCCCAGCCTCTGCAAGAGACTCCATTAGTTCCAAGCTCTGCTCTAACTCTCCAAGGCTAAGATCGGTGACAGAACCCAGTAAGCGTTACAGACTTCCCAGGTTCACAGGCCCGATAGCTGGCACTTCTGGGCAGAATTTCCTCAAGACATACTATGTGTCATTACTTTCAGGTTGGGGTTTGGATTGCTGGCTCATGGGTGGGGACTTGTTTTCCCACAAGTGGGCACAGGACACATTCCACAGAACACAGTTATGACAGCCTGCCAGAGCTTGCTCCCATGGCAACAATGGGCAGCCTGCAAGCTGCCAGGGGATTTTCATGGATCTTTGCCAATCCTCAGAGCAAACCTACAAAAGGGGTGGTACCATCATCATTCCACATTGAAGAAATTGCTCTGAGAGGCTAATTAAGTACCTTGTCCTAAACTGCAAAGCTAGGCAGGGGCAGGGCTGGTATTTGAGGTCAGATTTGTCCATCTCCAAGGCTACCAGAGCTGTTTCTCTTTGTTAGGATGCCTTATAAAAGGCTAAAGCCACACTCTGAGGAGTCCTGCCCAGCTTCCAGAGCCTGGCTACAAACACACTTCTTCCATCTTTGCATTGCTCTGTGGAGCAGGCACTACTCTACCTGTCTCACAATGATCTATGTTCTCTGAGGAACAGGAGCCTTTGGGGGAAGAGGCTGACCTCACACCCTCTTGAGTAGATTGTAAGGCTCAGGGACAGGTTCCTGAGACCTGCTGCAGGATACCATTCCCCACAAATAGGGTAGAATTCCATTTGTCTGAGGGAAGCCTGGAGAAACTAGGCCTGAAGATAGGAAAAGGCCAAATTTCCATGGAATAAATGTCTGGTGATGCCCAGGCCAACCTTCATACATGCAAGACAGCTTTACACATTTTCAGAATGCCAACTACGCCCTGCAACATGCATAGCAGCTTCCATGAATGTGCAGACTTGGGAAATGGGATAATGAAAGGCCATGATGAAAACCATGAGGGAAGGAACAAGCAGGAATGAGGCTGGGCTGGGAACACAAAGGCTTGGACTGGACAAGGGTCAGCAAGTGTCAGAAACAGGTAGAAACAGGCACAGCAGCCAGGGGTTGAGAGTTGAGGAGACAAGGGAATTTGGGGGTGGGTGGGATAACTGAAGCACTAAGCGTTTCCCACACCCTCCAGCTGTGTCTGGAAGAGGAAGTATGGGAGTGGCAGATGGGATCTTCAAGTCCCCAGTTGCTTACCACTTTTCCAAGCAGGGAAGATCTCCCCTACCCCTAGGAAGACTGGTCTCAGGCCCAGCCTCCCTCCTCAGGACAATCTGGCCTAGTTCCCCACCCAGGCTGGGCTCCCTACAGGCCTGGCTGGCTATTAGCTGCCCACCCTCAATGGGTAGGCTAAGCAAACAGAGTGGTCACATGGAGTTTAGGCTGAAATTCCTTTACTTGGATTCTAAGCCAGAACACCCACTTCTCTCACCACCACCCAAAGCCCAAAGTAGTTGTGGAAGGGGAGTGTTCTTGACTTTTCCAGGTCAAACCCAGACTGTCAAGAGGAGGCCAAGGTTCTCTGATGACATACCTATGTTCATCCGGTACAACCTTACAGCTTCAGTGAGCTCAGGAATTTCCAGGATTTCTACTTCTGCTTCTAATACATCAATATTGGAGAAATTATCTGGTAGTAAAATCTTTTGTGAGCGGAGAAAATTCACTTGAAAAGTAAAGGAAAACAAAGTGATTTATCGAAGTTATTTCTGATTTAACTGTAGTTCCTGACTTGGGCAGGTTTTTGGCACTGCGACTTATCCTATGTGCTTCTTGTTCTGAAACAGTTTCTCAACATACCTGATTAGATTGGCTTTGAGTCTATGCTTTTCAAGGTGAAAGACCCCAAAATACTTTGTTTTCCTGTGTCTGAGTTTGTGGGTATATCCTTCCATGGCCTGGCCTGGGGCTTCCAAGCCAGGCCCTCCTGGTTAACACATTGACCCTGAGACTTACCCTGTGAGTCTTGACCCAAGAGTAGGTCATTCCAAAAGAGGGAGTTGTCTTGCTGCTTAGAGAGGAGGCCCAACTGAGCCTGGGCTGGCAGGTGGCACTTGTAGTTTGTCCCTGCCTGGATTACAGTATGGCAAAGATGGAGCCAACAATAATGTCCTGTGTGAATCCACTTGGAGATTCAGAAGCACATCACAGATGACTTTCCAAGTGACCGTTAGTATGAATGGCTGGAGTTTCAGGCATTTGGGCCCCTAGTGCAACTTGGATGTTTAATGCCCTGTCCACCTAAGATGCAGAAGCATCTTAGGGTCAAAGAGGTCATTCAGTTCACATCCTCAACAGAGTTCATCCTGGGGCAGTAGGAGGGAGGCTCTTTGCTGTCCAAGGTGAAAGATTTCATCCCTCCTTAGGTTACTAGCTCAAGCAGACCATTCTACAATGATTCTGGGGAAACTGTCATCATCCACCCTTCTTCCCTTTTGTTCTGAGTTTGGTGGAATTGAAAGCAGGTAGGGCCATACTTTGAAACAATCCTATTTCCTCATTTTATGGTGAGAGGAACTGAGGGTTGGAACCCAGTTGGATACATAGGGCAGAGAAAGAAGAGAAACTGACTCTGGAGTCCAGCTCAGTTCTCTGCCCACCACACCATCTCCTGTGGCCCCTGACACCATCTCAGGTAGTTTCCACCCTTTACAGCCAGGCCAACCCCAAAGGGGTTTATAGGGAATAAAATAACTCTGAGTCCAGTGCCAGAATCTGCTTGCCTCTTGTAAGGCTCTATCCTGCTTCCACCACCTCTGCCTAGGGAAGCCCTGAGGTTCTGAGCACCAACCTGAGCCTCTGTGGGATATAGGGCGAGTGTGGGGGCGAGTGGATGGGCACTATCAACCTACTCCCCATCCCCCACCCATGGACAGAGAATCACCAATGAAGCGGAACTCGCTGCACTCGCACTCGATCAGGGCCACAGTCTCAGCCAGCCACAGCAGGTTGTCTTCAGTCACTAGGCTCGGATACTTGGCCACCAGGTCTATGGGCAGGAAGCAGTAGTGCACTTCCTCTTCTGTGTCCAACAGAGGTGTATCCATGAGCCCCAAAGGTGCCTTATCATGTAGACCTGGAGGAGAACATGCAGGGAGTGTTACCACCTCCCAGAGACCAAGGCTCTGAGTCCAGCAGTGCTCTCACTGACCCAGGGGACGCTGAGGAAGCAGGAGAGACCACTCAGGAGATGGTCCCTGCCAGACACCTCTTTCCTCTCTCTCTTTTCAGGTGTAGCCTGTAGTTTGGAAGGAATGTGGTGGGGAATGAGTCATGGAAATCTATTTTCTTTTTCTACAGTCAAGAGTAGTGGAACATGTTGTGATATTTTGGCTTATGTACCCAAAGTCATTAAATTCATTTACCCATTTGTTTCTTTCTAATTGGTCAAACCAGTCATGGTGACCCACAAATAAAATAGATGCTTTTGACACTCCTGGAAGTTCAAAACCCATCGATAATCATGAATGTCTTGTTCTCATGTCTCAGACTGGTCAACATATACTGCAAGGCAGCCATCAGATAGTGATCATTTGGGGACATTCATGTGTGGTGGTTGGAGGTAATTTGAATGGATGGTGGAGATTCCTAACTAATAGTTAGGAAGTGGAATGCAGCTAGTCTTGCCCAAGTGAAACAATCTACAGAAGAATTAATGTGGAGAAGGATATTAGTTCCAGTGGGCAAGCAGCCATGGGGAGGACTTGTGGAAGGGTAGAAGATCAAAGGAGATGACAGAGAGGTAGAGAAATCATCAGAACTAGCTCAGAAATCAGGGACTCTCTGGATGGAAGCCACTTCTGCTAGGGTAAGGAGAGGGAAAACTGGTGTGGGCTTCAGGGAGGGCCAGCTTGTCTCAATTATACCTGTGAAGGCTGGGCTTTTTATCGGAAATTCTGAGGGTTTGCTGATACACTTCCACGTTCGCCAGTAGTTCAGAGATGCTCTCTCAGCAACAGGTATGTCTGCAGGCCGCACACGTAGATGGTGTTTCCCTTCCTTCAGATTATCTAGAGTCTGTTAGATAAAGAAGATTACCACCTTGAAAATCGAAACCAAGTAACTATCAGTTCTAAAGTGAATACATGACTTACTTTTATAAAGTATTTTGATAAATTGAGTCAATCATACAATAATGTAAAAATGTAGGCCTATAGAGGGACATGCTGCTATTCAAAATCCCAATGACTATTTCCTTTCTGATTTTTGAAACAATGTTTGTATTATAATTTTTTTTTTTTTTTTAGTTGGAGTCTCACTCTGTCGCCCAGACTGGAGTGCA